AGGGATTGTAGGTGGGGGGAGTGAATGTACAGCGCTCTCTCCCACCTTCAATACCACGACTGAGGTGAGACCCTTGAGCAAGGCACAGAACCCCCAACTGCTCCCCGGGCGCCGCAGCATAAATGGCTGCCCACTGCTCCGGGTGTGTGTTCACGGTGTGTGTGTGTGTGTGTGCACTTTGGATGGGTTAAATGCAGAGCACTAATTCCTAGTATGGGTAACCATACTTGGCCACATGTCACGTCACTTAAACAATTAAACTTAACCTAAACAATTAAGATGCCATGATGCCCCATTATTGTACCATCAAATAACTAACTAAGACCAAACTTACTCGCAAAACAAAAACTTGAACATACATCAGCATGATAAGAGCTACCTAAAATGACAGAAACCATCTCTGGGAAAATTTTTATTTGAAGCGTAATACCATTTTTATTTTTTATTAAACATTTGTTTTCATGAAGGCGGCGGGTTTTTGACCTATACTGCAGCCAGCCACCAGGGGGCGATCGAGATGTTTTAGCTTCACTTTTCAGGATGTGTTCACAGCACAGACGTTTACACATATTTGGCATTTATAAATTTTTTTGGGCTTTAGCTACTTTTCATTGAAGGCATTTGGCAACACTGCACAATTGGTTGGATCTGAAATGGATGAGACGGAACAACTACTGGAGATACAACAACAATCCTATAATGCGCCACAATAACGAGTGTACAACCAATGTACACTCAACGGCTAGAGAATACCCATAATGCACTGTGAGGGCCGTGCTGAAGGAATTCCAGCGTCTTGCTAGAAGACGGTGCTTGCAGCTGAATCATCCATCCATCCATTTTCCAAAGCGCTTGTTCAATGTGGGTACAGCGTAACAACATTATTTTAATTGATTATGGAATAGTTTAATTAGGGTTTATACAATGCTAGTTTCCATGGCAGAGTTTGAAATAAATCTTTTCAATACTACTGGAGCTGCCAGCTAAGTTTTCTAATGATTATTAAACAGCAAGCACAAAATATGCAAAAGCAGCAGTCGTTCCGGCGTATTCAGTGGACATTTTAGTGACTGCAGTAACTTGAAACACCCTAGCAACACTGTAGCATTGTGTTGCCAAGTTCTACACAAGTAAGTGCCACTCACATTTTCTTCAGATTAATGTCTAATTAAAGAGTTCAGAGCATGGCATCGCACAATTTGTGACAAGTCGTCCTATTACGAGAACACCCGAGAATTTGACTCCACATTGCAGTTACATCTCTAGACGTCAGCATCACACCTTCTCTTTCACGTTCTCACTTTCTCTGCACTGTGAGACCTCTCTTTGATTGCATTTCACGTCATCCTCTATCCTTGTTTTACCTCAGATCTTCTCTAACATGTGAGCATCACTGATGGCGTGAGCTCGGGTGACAGTCTAAGAAAGACATCAAGAGTCTGAGGATGAGTGACTGTAGGTGACTGTAGAGAGAGACCGGAAAAGATCTGAATGAATCGATGAAAGCGTGTGTGAGAGGAGGTTTAATCGTGGCCTGCAGCCCGCCGAACGCCGTAGCCATAACAAGACTTGACAATTTTATTCCATGTCATTTTGATCACTGAAATGTTGAAATGTTTTAAATAAATGCTGTTCTTTTTAACTTTATTCATCAAATAA